CAGAGCAAGATGAAAAGAAGGATGAAAACAAGTCCGGAAAAGATCCAGAGAGAAACTGATTGGGCTTATTTCCTTTTTCCTGACACTGCTTCCCTTTTTTAGCGTTTTGTTGGATAAACGTTTTCGAGCTGAATGTAAGAATTATGGAGTGATTATTCCATACCCACCATCCAACCGCTACGAGACACTACTCAAGCAGAGGCATGTCCAGGTACAGTGCGAGTAGTAGACTTAAGCATTCATGGCTCTTGGTCTCTCTTTTTGTTAGCTTCAAATGTCAGCACCGCGTAGCGTCTTAGTGCTAGGTCCAATTAAGATTTTTTTTGGAACGAGGAGCATTTCGCTTATTTCTGACACACTGCACTCAGAATGTCGTGACTGAGGGGAAAGTGAATTGCACTCCACATTTCCATCCTCCTCCTCATAGGGAATGGTAAACCCAACAGGGGAGTCTGGATCATCATTTTCATGTTTAAGCAGATTTGGAAGTTTGGTTTTAATTTGTATCTATTGAAAGCTTTTCCCCATCTGTATGTAAAATGCAAATATCTTTTCTTCTTTTCACAGTTGCTTGGTAGATCAATTGACCTAAACAGGCTCATAACACAGCGTATCTCAGCTGCAATGTACAAATCATTAGACCAAGCCATTAGCCGCTTTGAGAGCGAGGACCTAACCTCTATAGTGGTAAGAACTGTGATTAACTGAAAGAGTAGAGAGGATAATACACTGCTCTGTGTATGTGGTCAGCTGACCTCTGCTCAAAGGAAGTCCCACTTACAGTAGGTTTCAGACAGTCATATGTTCTCCATTATCCTGCTGAATCTGTAATATTTTTGTTTATCCGTCTGTAACTGCACTGTTGTTAGACCATGAAGTATCTGTGTAAATCATAAGGTGACAGTAAGCAGTTAGATTTTGCAAAGTTCATATAATAGAGTCCTATGATCTGGGAGAAGGAAATCCTGACTTTAATTCCCCTCGCTGGATGCGGGTGACCGAAACGTTGTTTGTGGTTGTCTCTGTGTACAGGATTTGCTGTCTTTGATATGTTACAGGAGCATCAGAGTCAAGTAGTGTAAAATTACCCATTTCCACCTTTCAGGGCTTCTGATGTGAAAGCCAGCTGATGCTCAGTGAGGAACAAATTAATTTTGCTTCTTGCAGGCTTAGGAAATACTGGACCAGGACCCCCTTGAGTAGAAGTGCAATTGGCCTTGGCCCCTGAGTTAAACTGATGTCTTTAGCATCTGCTATGTCTTCACCTGGAAAGTTCTGTGTGGGTGTAGATACAAAATCGTTCCCTTGGCAATTAAATCAGCCATTTCTATTGTCATCTCGGTAACACGTTGCTGCTTTGTGCGCTGCAGGAGCTGGAGTGGCTCTTGGAAATAAACCGCCTGACTCACAGGTTGCTCTGCAAGCATATGACTTTGGACAGCTTTGACGCCATGTTCCGAGAGGCCAACCACAATGTCTCCGCGCCCTATGGGCGCATCACCCTCCATGTCTTCTGGGAGCTCAACTTTGACTTTCTACCCAACTACTGCTACAATGGATCCACTAACAGGTGAGGCGGGGGAAGGCGAGGCAAGGGGCAGCTGGAGACCTTGCGTTTCATTCAGAAACATTGACCCTACCGCATAAAATTCTCATGCATTGCAGTGACACTTTCATTTCCTGTGGTACAGCATTGACAGTGAAAATGAAGCTAAAGCCCCCGCTGCCAGCTCCCCTTGGCCTTGAAAGTGCTAGTAAATTCATGCAATGAAGTTGGATAGCGATGGCAAGCAACTGAGTTACCGTGGTTTAGAGAGTTGTGACTCAGCAGCAGAGCTGCGGTAGCTGCTTATATATGTGCTTGTTGCCTGCCGCAACTGCAAAGAAAAACCACCTTTGTGGCAAGTTAAGCTAATATGTTTTACATCACTGAGAAACGGGCGCAGGAGCTTGCATATGAGTTCATGTCACTCAGGTGATGAAAGAAAACTCATTAAGTCATGCTAATTAACCTGCAAACGCAGTTCATCTGAGACCTGTACTTAACACAATTAATGAGGCATGGTCTGTTTTCCTTCCCTTCTACCATGCCCACCGCAGGTTTGTGAGGACTGCAATTCCGTTCACGCAGGAGCCCCAACGGGACAAACCAGCCAACGTTCAGCCCTATTACCTCTATGGATCCAAGGTCAGTAAATGAGCCACAGTAGCCAGTAGGGATGGATGCTGAAAGCATTTATTTAGGAAGAAGGAAATGTAAGAACGGGTTCATTGACAGAAGAGCAGGTGCAAATGCACAGGGTCAAATTGCTGTGTGAAACCAAAAAGCCATGCAACAAGCAGCTTCAGTTTTACTTTTGCTTTTTCATGTTCTTCTCCTTAAGGTACCAATGTCAGGGTGAGCTAACACCCTCTGTGCTTGTTGTTGGCACAGAGACCAGGTCTGGTCTTTCTAAATGTGCAGAGAGTAGAGAGTTGGCGCTCCAGAGGAGGGTGCCACTTCCAGAATCCTATTTGTAATTCAGAATGAAAATTACTAAACTATTTATGTGCAAATATAGTCTACGTAATACTGACAAAAAGCTCTTTTATAAGACTGTGGTGATGATTTCTACAAGGGTCATGAGATCTAGGACATACTAGTGAAGTGTCACTCCAGTATGAAACTACTTGAGTGGAGTTTGTTTCTTGTGCATGTAGCTTGATGACTCGGAATTGAATCTACAACAGCGATACAGGTTAGATAATAGAGTCAGTCTAGCCTGTCCATTCTCAAAGATTTGACTTGGATTTTTTTAATCCCCTCCGTAAATGAGAATATTGTCATTTGACAAAAATCTTTCTCCTTGTGGCTAATGTCTCCACCTCATATTCTACCTTGGGACAAGTAGCCACCGTGGACACAGACGGTCACACTGGCAAGAGCTGGGAAAGAGCAGCATGAACCAAACTGCTAAGCAAGGGGTCCTTTTATCCGGCTGTCACTGAAGGCCATGATGTGGCAAGATGGCCCTTTTATCATCGCTGTTTTTATAGGGAAAAAAGCAGTGGGGGGAACTATATGGACTCTCCCTCATGAAGCTGGAACTCCTCACTAGAACGGTTGTCATGGGGACTTCCAGAAGCTCCTCTTTCAGTTCATCATTCAGCGGCCTTTCCAGTGAGCTGCTGTGTTCACCCACATCTCCTTCTGGGTTGGTGTTGTACTGCTTCAGCCTTGAAGCCCTGTGGCACCGTGCAGACCAGAACTGCAGGCAGCCATAGACCAAGATAGCTGTAAAGCAAAGAAGCAACAGGCTGCTCACCATCCACATGGAGGTGGTAGGTTCATGCTTAGAGCCACCGAAACCCAGAGGGGGGTTGTCTGGAGTGTGGAAGGTGGTGCAGTGGTTGCTGGAGGGATAGGAGTTCTTGCACGTGATGCAGAGAATGTAGACAGTGGATGGTGTGAGTCTGTGGAGGACAAGGGAGCTGAGGGAGTGGGGAACTCGCTCCTCGCGGTGGAAGTTCTGGCGTAAATAGCCGGCAAAGACGCTGTTCCAGTTGGGTCGGTACATGACATGGTAGTAGTTCTCTGGACAGGGATTGTTTGTGGCCCAGGAGACCGTGGCACTGGTGTAAGTGATGTTGTGGACTTCAATGTTCATCGTGGCTCTGAAACCAGAAGCAGGGAGAGGCTTGAGTTTCTTGATTCATGTACAGACTCATTCAAAGGCTACTGAAATCAATGAACTCTTTCCACTGCCTTTACTGGCCCTTAGATTGTACCTGTATAGGCTTCAGAAACAAAGGTAGCTACTAAAATGAACAGCGTGTTGGAAATGTCATGAATGTCTTTGCACAGTTTTTGTGAATGTTTGTCACTACGAAAAAGAAATTGAATTTTGATAACTGTCGAGTACTTCAGATGCTTACAGATGGAAAGCTTCCTGACAATTGTCTTCAGACCTTTCAGCAAACTTTCTAAAGCTGAGTAACTTGCTACCCTCTGTAATGTTATCAGAAGGGTACCATGGACCCGAGGAGTGGCTACTTGGAAACCTCTCTGTTTCACTATCGACTCCTAAGCCCGCAGAGAGGTTGTGGGAATTAAACTCCACCTGCGGAGGCATCTGGCATGCTTAGTATTTTAATTTCTGATACTGGTGCTTCCATAACTTCTGTATGTAGAAGATCACACTTTTTACTTTTTTTTTCCCCCCTCAGTCACCACAGCCTCCCTTTTGTGAATGTAGGAAATATTTCCCTTTGCAGAGGCGCAGAGAAAGTAATGGTAAGTAGGCGTCCAGCTGCATAAAAGCTAGGAGGGAGCTGGGAGCTGTCTGCCCATCTGCAAATGCCTCTACCTCTCCCTTGCTGTAGATGTTGAGTCTCCAGACTCCCTGAATGATTATTTCACTGGTTTAAGCAGTTGCTGCATTTTTCAATACCTAGCTTGTGGCTTAATAAAGTATGAATGCTTTCTGTTCCTACAGCATCTCATGCTGTAATGTCATGATTTTAATTGTGAAGTTTGGAGGCTGGTGAAATATAAAATCAATACCTTTGGGGAAGAACAAAAGTATAAATAATAATTATAAAGCTCTCCTCCAGAAAAACAAAAGACTTTGACCGTTAATGAATTACTGTTTAACAACAGCCACAAATTATTTTGATTACATCGCTCCTTTGGATCCCTGAAGTGCTCTCTGCAGGGCTGATCCCTCTGCACACAATAGTTACTCTCCTGTTCAATCAAAACTAAGGAGGTTTCCTTTAATTCTTCTTCCTTTCTCCTTCAATGTAATTAACTGTCCTTTAATTCAAGAAGCAGCTCATCTTAAAGATTGTTTTAATTATTCTTCTTATGTGAAGATCAAAAACACAGGCACCCCGCACTAAGCGTTTGCAGAGCCACGGCGAGCTGCTTACCTTCCCTCCCAGGTCCGCGGCGGCCGGCGGCGCGCCGTGAGCAGCGTGACTCCGGGCGAGCAGCGCCTTCCCCTCTTGCCACTGCTCTGGTCCCTCCCGTCTCTGCTAAATCCGTTCCCAGTGCGCTGCCTCGTATTATACCCGTCCTGGGCTCCGTCATCGCTCACCATAGCAACCAGGAGGAAACGGCAGGCAAGCATCTTCGAGCGATTTGGGAACGTTATCCCTAAAAGCTTGTGCCTGGGAGAAGTGTGTCTCTGAGGCTGGAAAACCAAGCAAGGTAGTTTTGGTTTTTGGCTTTTTTTTTTTTGCGGCAGTTGGAGAGGAGTGTTCAGAGCAGTACATAGTCAGCAGTTGCTACCCTTCCTTTAACCAGCTTTGCTGCACTTTGGGCATTGCTGTCATTTCTTCAGCGGCGTTTGAAGAGAAGGGTTTGTCCACGTAAAAGGGATGTGGTTGCACAGAGAGAGAGGATTGCTTTCCCTGCTGCTGGAGTGCCATGAGCGGCACCGACGGGCTCTCCAGTAACAAAAGTGGAGACCGAAGCGTGTCCCCTGCCTGCCACAGCAAGCCCAGAGGGTGACCACAGCACACCACGTGGACAGTGCTCGGAGAGGAGACCAAGGTTCTCGGCCGTCCTTTGGAAAGGCATTGCTCCCTCCGTTCCTGTCTGCAGCCCTGCAGCAAAACCGCTGCGCTCCCAGCTCTGGAGCCGCTGCCCGCCTTGCATATTGATGTTTTACCCTTCAGGGGCTTGTCTTTGATATTATGATTCCTTACACATTTAAACTGCTAATTTAAACTAAATCCAGTGGACGGTAAATTTTCATCTCCAGTGCTGCAGCAATGTCCGTTAGGTTTTTGTTTTCTTTTTTTTCCAAACTGGTTTTGGAAATTGGTTTGGAAATTGGTTTTTCATGCATGCTCTACCTCTTGTTGAATTGAAGTGTAGTTAAGACAGGCTTTTCTTTGAATATCAGAGTTGGAGATCTCCCATGTCAGTCTGGTGAGAGGGCAAGAGGCAGGGACAAAGTCAGGGCCAGCACAGGAGGGGACAGACACAGCTTGGGTCTGAAGAAGTGGGTCACTGCTCTTGGAAGCCAAAATGCAATCTAGAGAGTACTTTCCCAGAAGATACCTGAATTTCTGAGTCTGATGTTTCCGTTTCCATTTCATTATTGAAAAGAAGTTTGCAATATTTAAAGACCCTCTGAATGTCAACAGTGAGGCGACAATGCAAACTGGATTAGGGTGGACTGTTACGTCCCTAGGGAGTGTGTGTGACCCTTGCTTTTGATTTATGCTCCACAGTTCTGGACATTTTAGTTCTGTTTTCCAAGATCTGCTGCATTTCCTTCTGTTTCTGTGAGCTGCAGCTTCTAGAGATCTGCAAATTAGGAGCAGCAGTGAAAATAATTATGGATAGGGATGAAAATGAAAGTGCTTCCAGGTGGCTTCCTACCTCTTACATAGCATAGTCCTCCTTACAGGAGCACAGGGAAAGAGAGCTCTTAGCTGGTCCCATGCTGTGAGTAAAGTATGTTCTTGCCTGCAGGGAAGGAGCTGAGCATACAAATCCCTGCTTCGGAAAGGTGGATTATGCAACGTGATCGTGTTTTCATGAGAAAATTCTTATTTCACTGCATTCGTGTTGACGAGTTTCTCAGTGTTCACAGTTGCTTCAGAATTAAATTTTAGGTGTTGACAAATGACATTTGTTACAGGAACAGCTGGAAATGAAAAATTATGTTCTCTCAAAATACAAAGGAAAACAGAGAGTTGGAGTAGATCAGCCAAGGGTCCTTCTAACCTTTCTCCACAAAGTGGTCAATGCCACTAGCTCAAAGGCTAGCACAACACAGCTTTCAGTGCTGTCAGTATCACCTGATCCCAAAATCAAGCTTGCTCCTGGGGAGTTTGCTTATAGGAGAGTGTTGGGCTGGGAGATCTTATGACCCTGATCATGTTTTCTTGTCTTTGTGATAACTCCTCACTATTCTGGTGTCTGCTGGTGGCAGAGTAACCCTTTTCACTGCAATGTGTTTTCACTAGGCTTTGCGCCCTCGTGAAATTGTACAAAGATATATGCTAAAAGTTTTGGAAAATGTTACACTGATTATGACCTGGTGATGACAGTTAAAATACTGTCAATATAGCTTGCCAAGAAACCAGGCCTCGCTGAGGCCTGGTAATGAGATTATCATTTCCCAGGACTAGAAGACCTGCTCCTAGCCCAGGTACCGAAATGGGGACAGCTCAGGGACTGCTCCAGCGCTGCTGTTCCTCCACTACTTGACCCCATCTGCAAGCAGAGCCAACTGTGGCCCTGCCTGGCCCTGCTCACCTCTCACGGTGGCTACACCAGGGGTAGAAACTGCACATTTCCTTGAGCTCCTCTCAAGTGCCCAGCAGAAACAGCCATTTTCTGCTGTTCAGCCACTTAAAAAGCACAGCAGGTTGCCAAGTCTCCTACAGAGCAGCTGCAAAATTACCAGCAACCCACTTCTTTCTGCTTGTTAACCACCTCTTAGATCTGTAAACACTTCAGGTTGAGCGTCGTTTATGTATTCTCGTGACCGTTTCTGCTTCTCTTGGCGCTGCCTGATTCAAGGTCATGCTGGGCTTGTTGGAAATCACTCATTCCCTTGCACGGGTGCATTTGCCCACCCATTTTTAACAACCGTGCATGTGGATGTAACCTGAAGGACGGTGCATGCTGACGGCACCTGTATAAATAGTCACGGTGCGCAAGTGGGATGGAGGCACTCCACTTTCTGATGCGCTGTGTTCAACGACTGCGCAAAGGCACTCGGGAGCTGTGGTTGCAGCAGGGGGTGCTGGCAGCGGGGGCCGTTCGCCCCTTCCAGCAAGCAGCATGGGCCATGCAACCCGCTTTCTCGCGGCAGCCGGCAGCGGCTGTCACAGGGCGCAAACAGCTCCTTGCCCTCCGGCGCTGCCAAGGCTGCCCAGGGGCTCTCCTGCTAAGCTAGCAGAAGAGTCAGGTTAAATTAGTGTGTCTGAGCTACCCAGAGAGCTTTTCTGCTGCTGTTAGAAAAAGTGCCACGACAAAAGCAGTTTTACTCTGCTGCGACCCCTCTACTTTATAACTAATAGCGGTATATAGAATCCCTGAAGGTCAGTAATCGGTATAGCAAGGCAGTACAAAAACGTGCCTTCTGTGTTGTCCGTGTCCTCTGTATCCCAGCTAGGGCATACAAATTTTCTTTGCATGATAGTTTTAGCAGCAGAGTGCTACAGTTGAGCGTGGTAAAAGCCTTATAAGGGGAGGAATCTTGCCCATTGCAAGGGAAGGGGCCAGGTCGTATTCGGGCTGTTTGCTGTAAGTCTAACTTGGAGACCCTCCTGTATATGAGTCAGAATTGGTTTTCACTTTCTTACATACCATCACTGAAGTTAGGTGATAGACTAAGTGTCCGGACTGGTCTTTGGCTGGGTATAAGTCCTTTTTTGTCTCCAAGTATATTCCTCTTTCATTATTTTGAGGGGGCTTTGGCAGTGGCAGCATTATCTGCCCATGACTTAATAGCTGATAAAACTCCCCGTCCCGTCCCTTAGGTGAGCTCAGACAGGTCTGGGTGATGGCCAGTAAAGGTGTGGAAGTGATGACTGCTTTTCTCTTTTACTGCATTTGCTGCTGAATCTGGGGTTCAGGGGTCCTGACTGTCCCAGATAGTCTCATTGCTTCCTAAAGCCAAGTAGGCGTCTTTCCTAGGATTCTTCCACGTATAAAAGTATGAGGATCTCCCAGAGACCTGGGTGCAGGCCAGGTGCTTGCTACATTTCCTTTTGCTCTGTGGGATGCTGGGAACTTTGCTCAGCGCTGCAAATCCCAACCTGTCTGCGCTCACAGCCTCCCGGCCTCAAAACCTGCTGGTCTGGCCCCAAACCAGAGGTGGGGCAAACCTCAGCCGTCTTTGATGACTGCTGCTCCTCAGAATAGCAAAACCTCAGTAGAGCTGGCCGGGTTGGAGGCTTTGCTGCCCAGTGAGGGGTGTGGGCTGGCACCCCCTTGCATGGAGCTTGGCACTCACCCTCCGAGGGGGCCAGCCAGGCTGGGGGAGTAAGCAGTGCCGCACAGCCAGCTTGTGCGTTCAGCTGTTTTATCTTAAAATACACCCTGGTGTCATTTTTACATCCTACAGTCTTTAACTGAAGCTGTGTATTTCACCCTTAAATGGAGCTATATTTTAATTGCTCACAGACAGAGTATTATTATTAGCTGCATGCCTGCTGTTAATGCGCTCTGGGGCTCTGCGGAGAGCTTGATGGAGCCTACCTCATCTTGCAGACAGGCAGGGATGAATCATCTGCCTTGTCTGCAGCCAATGCACGTCCTAAAATGCGTCTTCTCCTCATCAGCCTTATTGCTGAGACCTCCATTTTAAGGAAAAATAAACTTCAGACCTGCTCTCCAGCTCCGTTATCCCATGGTGGGGCAGTGCGCAGAAGGGGAAAGGGCGCGGGTGAGGTGGGAGGTTACCCGGCAGTACTTGGGCACTCACAATGACAAAACGTCAGTCCGATCATGGGGAGAGCCCGACCAATTGCTCCTTGACTGGGTAGTGACGGTATCCCATCTCTGGGGACCATCGCGTGGGCAAAGACTGAGGAACTTCATCTCCTAGCCATGGAGTATGACGGGGAAAGGGGCTTCCATAAGGGAGTACAGGTTTGTGGGCCCGTCAAAATGGGAATGTGAGCCACCGGTGTGTTACCTGTAGTGAAACTGCAGTGTCTAAGTGGGAACTGAAATATTTGGGGGCATTTGGCATGTGATGCCTTGAATGTGTAAAGGAGTCTAGGGAGAGGCATGGGAGGAAAGGGCAACATGCCTTATCGGTGTTTGCCGTGATAATCTGTGCAGAAACATGCTTTCTGTGGACTCCATGTTGCTGGAATTATATATTGCAAAAGCTACAGCAATAAAATGCTGCTGTAACACGGCTCTGTTGGGGCCTTAACGGTTTATTGGCTTGGATCTGGGATGATTGTATCAGAGCAGTTTGGCAATAGTTACAGGCTGGGTGTCACCTAGTTTTTAAATAGATGCGCTTTTGACAACATAAGCTATTGCTGTTTTCCATTCATATCAGTGTGTATCTTGTGGCTTTGAATTAGCCTCTAATAAACAAATTTTTGAGAAGACTTGGATGTCTAAAGATGTAGATAGAAACCTAAGCACAATATTCAAAAGCAATTCTCTTAAATGGAGTTGGCATCCAAAGAGCATTTGAAAGTGCCACATGGGCTTCTATCTGCCTAAATATTTTCTAAATTCTTGCCCTTACTTAAGTGGGGCCCTATTATCTAGTTTTGATGGGAGAGAAAGTTCATGCGCATTGTGATTGAATACACTCTAAAGCCTTCAAAGTAGCTTTTCTGTGCATAATAGTATTGCCGGCTTTTTTCATCTACCAGGGCCAGACACAGAAAGTAGGGGGCTTTCTAACTTTTTATCTTCATTCCACTAGCTCTTTTAAGAAAATGCCTCTGAATAATTGTAGGTAATGAACTGTTGGAGCTGAGCAACTGGGCTATAACAATATGAGGGACAATTCATTAATTGATTAAAGCAACTGTCAAGTCTATGCAGGAGCAATCAGTACATCAGTCAGCAAGAATCCTGTATCTGAGAGCATAAGAAAATACTTTTCTGCTTCTTATTAGATGACTTCACTTTGTAGCTTATTAAGCACGCGAAACGTTAGAGTAAATCTTGAGGGAGTGGGTTAGAATTAGAGGGCAATGGAAGCATTCAGACTGTCTGTGTTACAGTCGTTAGAAGCAGCACTGTTTGAGGATATACTCCATTTTGTCCTCTTCTGCCACTTCAGTGCTTGCTCCCTTTCCTCTTGTGCTCTTCTAGTGCATCAGTCCTGGCCCTCCGTTGTCTTGGCCCAGGCTAGCTCCACTACCGGCAGGGAAGGAGACCCCTGTGGAGTACGTGCTCTTCCGTAATCCCTGCAGGAGAGGAAGCTCCCCGCTACCTGCGGATGCAGCATGCCTCTTGCATGCAGGGCTCACACAAGGAGCGAGCCTTACGCAGTGCATTTGGGATACAAGTGAATATATTTTCTTATCCTTGTTTAAAAGAGATATTTTAGTAAACCTGAGCCAATGGACTTATCTGCATCTTGCTGGAAGGGGCACTACGTGCCAGAAGGCTTTTCAAGAATATACTTGGTGCTGTTTATTGAAGCTGTGAATGTTGTAATTACAAGGTGGGAGGGGAGAATACAGCCTTTCTCTGCCAGGGTTTAGTCATGATGGGAACGTTTTTATTTCAGAGCCAGGGCTGAGCATGCAGTGTCTCAGTTAAAACTGATTTGCAGTCTTCTGCAGATCACACTCTCCCTACTTTTGTTTTCTTTGTACCAAGTGGATCCAATAGACGTTCCAATAACACAATATTGCAACACTAGTAGAGTACGTTCTTGGAAATGACTTTCTGCTTTCTCCTCTTAAAGAGAAAGTTGTCTGGGGGACAGAGCCCCTGGTACTATTCTCCCTGGGCCAGGGTCCTGTTGTAGCAATTTTTGCAGTCACGTGTATATGTCTGCTAAGTACACAGGCTGACAGAGGCCTTTACAGGACACAGAAATGATTTTTTTTTCTCACACAGGAAGGACTTTTTCTCTCTTTTCCAACAGCTTTTAGGTTCAGATGCTGTAGTTCCTACTTGTCTTAATACTCATTTGAAGCAAATACCAATAGAAAACTTTTATCTTGTTGCCTGTGTATAAAGCTTTTAGTTTTAGTAGAGAAGAATTTGGGTTTGAAAAGGCAAAGACCTAGTGAACCTAGGCAAAGACCTAGTCTTTGATGGGGAATGTATGGGAAAGTAAATTACCTTTGAAATGAAAAGTGGTGTTGGTAGAAAGTGGAATAATAAACCTTGTGACATGACAATTTGTTGAGATTAGAATATCTTTGACTAAGTAGGAAGAAAAGCAATCTCCTGTTTGCCACAAGAAGTAGAAGAAATTTATCATGGGCATTATTATTTTTCGTTGTCTTCCTTAAGAGCTATTTGAAATGACAGAACATAAAACTATGACAAGAAAATTAGTTACAGGTCCTGTAAATGCTCTTATCTAATTGTCATTGTGCTTCTAATTTCTCAGCCTCTCAATATTGCCTACAGTCACATCTATAGCTCCTACCGCAATTTTGTGGGACCACCTCATTTTAAGACAATCTGCAGGCTCCTTGGCTACCAAGGGATCGCAGTGGTCATGGAAGAGCTGCTGAAGATCGTCAAGAGCCTGGTAATTCTGGTGATGGGAAAACCTCAGTGCTTTGAGAGGTGTTGGCTGGGCAGTCTGGACTTTGGATCTTAGTTTGGAGTGTTCAAATTTGGGATATTTTTGTGTTCCTGTATCTATACGGAAGCGCCTATATTAATGGTCTGATATTTCTTAGGGCTTTCCATTCCCCATTTCTTAGGGAATTCCATTGATTTCAGTGGGGTTGTGGAGTGTTTGACCCTGAAGTGTTAACTCTGACACGCCATCCAGACTTGGGTGTGGTGGAGTTTACAGTCGACTTTGTTAAATGTTACTGAGAGGTGAATGGGTGGGACGTGGACCTCGCTGACCATCAGCACTGCCTGTGCTGCAGTTTGGGGGACCTTTTAGGCAAGAGTTCATGCCCAGCAGTAGCACAAGAGCATTATCTCATGGTATTTTCATACCCCTGGAGAACCACTGCAAGGTAGAGAGCGGGAAACAAAACTGATAGCACTAACTTTTTTGGATCTTTAAAAGAATATTCCCACTATGGGTGAGTCCTTATTAATCCAAGCCATTTTGTCTGTTTTCATCAGCTTCATCTGAAGTCAGCCTGCCAATAGCCCTATCTGCTTTGTAGCTTTCTCCTCTCTTTCAGAAGAGATATGTGATCCACAGGGAAGTCATCCTGTGTGCTCCCTAACGGCATTATTAATACAGAGCATTAACAACAGGGAGAGAGTGTGCAAAAGTGTGTAATTTGTCAGGTCATGTTTCTCTACCAAAAACCTTGCCTTACTGGAGAGGTGATTTTCATTCGTTATAAATATTTAAATTCTTCTTTGCCTGCAATGACGTCATTTTGAACTTGTCTAACAAAGCAATGTAAAACAGAAAACCTCAAGTGTATGACCAGTTTCTCTACAGTAAAGAGAGAGCTGTAGCTACTGAAGATGTAATTTGTGTCACTTAGTTGAAAATGCTCTAGGTAGTATGTGAGATCAGAAAGCGTTCAGAGCAAAGATGATCTGTCTTTGGCTAAGTTGTTTAGTGTGTAATCCCGTCTAATATGTAACTCAAATGACAGCAAGCGTTTGTAACTAAGAAATATAGTTTGTTCTTGTCCATATTAGTTGAAAACATCAGAATTGAGGAAGTTTGTTTTACATATGTGTAATTTTTTCTTTTTAACCTCTCAGTATCTAGTGATCATTCTTCAGGTGGAAGGAGTATTTCCTGTGCTTTGGAATGACTTTTTTGGCAGCTCTGGTCAGACGTTTTTTGTGTTAGGAGCTCCAGTCCTACTGGATCTAAGACTGAGCCTTATTTGCATTTCAGCTGCAAGCAACGCAAACATACCCAGCTGTATTTTGAAGCAGAGCATCCATGCAGCCGTGTTTTATCACTCAGGAGAAAGCTGTAAAAGCACTCTAGCTCCATGCACTTGGGCTGAAGTTTATGTTTGGGTGAAATCCAAATTAAGCAAATTCTTCTTGAACTCCCAATTAAAGTTTCATCCTGTTGTGTCAGATGTGGACCTGTCCACAAACTCCACTCTTTTAAATCCAATGTCAGGAGAAGCCGTCATTCCAGTTTAATCTCCCTTTGTCTCTGACAGTTACAAGGCACCATCCTGCAATACGTGAAAACACTGATAGAAGTAATGCCCAAGATATGCCGCTTGCCAAGACATGAATATGGCTCTCCAGGTGGGTGCTACAGAGAGACAGATACTGGTTTGAGCAAGAGCTCTCCCACGTACTTGTGCAGCATTTACTCAGGCACATACTATTAATTGAACAGAGACTGGCATCTGAAATGCTGCAGCAGCATACAGCCCAGGCAGGATAAGATGAAGAACTAATACTGGCACAATGCAGTAGGATAGAGAACTGAGAGATTCGAATCTCTGAAACAGGATAAAATACAAGACACTAAGGTTTCTAATGAATTACATAGGGGGGGAACTTGTATTGTTTTTAAGGCAACTCCTGTTGTTGAAGCTCCTGCTGCTTTAGGCTTTCCTGATCACTTTTGAAGGGAAGCCTTCTTGTAGGAAAATGGAAGCAGGAGCAAAATTTGCACTGTGATGTAAGATGTCTTACAGTTTTAATTACTGAGTCCTGGCCCCTTAACAGTCTTAACGTGGTGCTGAGTGCTACTTTCCGGTGTTTTGCTACTGCCAATGAAACATATATAGGAAATTTTTCTGTAAAATTGCCTGTTGGATGGAAATTTCTCTTTGAACACAGAGATGACTGATAAGGGAATGTCTTTTGGTAGCTTATGTTTTATTTTCAAGATTTTGTAAGCTTTTGTTTTCATGGGTTCATTGTCATTTTTCAAAAGGTCCACTTAGCTGATGCAAAGTTTTTTTTTCAGGATGACTACAGTCTCTAGGTGAGGTGGATGGGGAGATTCTGACTGGTATACATGGGCCAGCATAAACGCATCCATTACAGCCTTGGATCTTTTTTCTTCCGATTGGGAAATCCAGTGACTTCATATGAATTACTCCTTATTTCCCAAGGATTAGTGAAAGCAGGATGAGACACTGCATGCTAGTTCTCCACAGTGGCAATCTCCATCTAGCCACTTAGCAGTCATAGGTTAAAATTCACGATTAGGAAAACAATGAGGCATTGTTTGTCTTTTTATCCAAGTCATTGGAGAGCGATTTTGCTCTCCCTTCTCTGACTGCCCTTCCTTGTCTTTTAAGGAATCCTGGAGTTTTTCCATCATCAGCTGAAGGACATCATTGAGTATGCAGAGCTGAAGACCGACGTGTTCCAGAGCCTTAGAGAAGTGGGCAATGCCATTCTCTTCTGCCTTCTTATTGAGCAGGCTTTGGTAAGGTGAAATCCCCTGAATCAACAGACCATACTTGAAATTGTAAGCTCAAGAGTATAAATAGAAGTGGGTTCTCAAGCAGAAGAGTTTGGAAAATGTTACTTTCTGGCTTCTCGTGTGCTCTGGGTCTCTGTGGAGCTGTGTAATTGGGAACCACTGGCACATACGGATGTGGGGAAGATGTGCATTGGCACTGAGTCACTGACATCTGGGATTGCTGAGGGAGAATCTGAATACTGGAAGATCTAGATTTAAATCTGGACTCAGAGCTTTCCGATGTTTGTGCTTTCAGAAATAAAATCAAGTGGGGTTTATTTCTAGACTGTAAGCTATTTGCAGCAGGGATTTTTTTTTATATATATATATATATATTTATACATATAAATTTATATAGTGAGAACTAGATTTGAGCTGTAACTTCTGATTGGTCTTTTGGAGTGCCAGTGCAATGAGAATAACTGATTGGTTATAATATCAATAACCAGAAAGCAATCCAAAAGGAAGGAAATCTCGGAAGAACAGCTGATCCTGTGATGTTTCTTGTCTTCACCAAAGACCTAGCTGGAGCTGCAATTCAGCATTGCCCACTGCACAAGTGTCTGAGCCTCTTAGCTTGTGCGATGCCCTCTCTGACTTAAGTGAGCTGGCCTGTTAGGGGTCATGGCTCAGTGCCACACATCATCTTAATTCCTAGTTTTTCATACAGCAAATTTATTTCATAGTGAATTTATCTCACAGCTTGGCCTAGAGCCAATCGTTTCCAGCAAAACCGTTTTGTATTAAAAATGCGTAGGGTCTGTCATAATGGTTTTGACAGGGTTGTATCACTTTTTCCAGAATTGTTTTCAGAAAGTCTTCTCCGGTGTAGGGTGGGATTTCTGAGCAAAACCAGAAAGTTTTGCTCAGAGTAAAACCAGAAGAAAGTTCAGGGACTCTCAGTTTAACCAAGAATAGAGCACAAGGAAAACTGAAAATCTCTGCATTTCCTCAAAATGGATATTTCTTTCCGTGCCCTTGCATTTTACCCCCAGACAGACAAAGACTTGCAGTTGCTAGCATGGTGCATCACACACCTCCAATGAGCGGTAATTGTTACAAGATTAAAAAATCTGGGGAGATGTATATCACTTAGCGGCTTGGCTTTATTTTACAAAAACACTAGAGTTGCAAACTATATCCTGGCAGTTTCTGCTCCTTTTGTGTCTGTTACTGCTCTCAGCTGTTCTTAGTGTTGGATTTTATGCTGGATGTACTGCATTTGCCTTTTTTGTCCCATCTTTTAAACGGGTACTTAAAGAATACAGGGTAGTTTCTTTTAGTATTTCTTCATTTGAACGTTCCTGTCCTAGGAGCTGTACATCAGCAGTATAATGGCATTTTAGAATAGTTGGGGGGGGGGGGAGAATTTGGGGATCCCTTTAGGAAGGTTGCCCATCTAAGTCCCCCTGTGTCTACTTTTCATGCCAGCCGAAGCTCTTCCACACAGAAATTGGTTTAGAATATAAGGTAGTTTTGCACTCAGTGGGCACTGGTTCTCACTCACTGGAAGACTGTCAGATGCATAGAGCCATCATGTAACAAGATTTTCCCTTTAATGGAGCTTTTATGCAGTGGAAGCTATTGCTTTTATGGTGCAGTTGTCTTCATAGCTGTCAGTCTAATCTAAGGCTGGTGGTATTTGCTGGCAGGAAATGCAATAGTGAAGGTTAGTGGTATGTTACCTTCTACCTCTCTTTTATTGTTTAAATTTGAGGGATGAAGGGTTGCCTGTGACTAAATTTCGGAGAGTAATTTTTACCCTCAGGTAATGGACCTTGAGGAGGAAATCTATTAATGGTGTAACTAATCTAGGACAAATACTGGGTGAATGCAGGCTACAAATGGAGAAAATTTTCACTTTATCAGAGGGCAAGAGCAATGAACAAACTTTCATTGAGGAAGGAAAAGCCTTTTGCAAACAAAATAACAAAGAGAATGGGCCCACTCTGGTAGCAAGCACCAGCATCTTTATGCCCATGGAGGGACCCAGGGCTGTTTCTTTCCCTCCAGCACTGTGTCACAAACTGCACTCCACAAGCTCACTCACGTGCCAGCATCCATGGCTCCAGTACAACCTCCTGCAACTCCATGCTACGTACTGTTCACCACCTCTTGGCTGGAAGATGAGGGGTCCACCAGTGCATCCTAAACAGACCTGACTGAGTCATTCCATCTGGCCCCCAAATATCTTTTGCTGCTCTATCATAACCTCCTCTCGAGTATGTCTAAGTCTTTATGGTAAATTCAGAAGTGAAAGCATGTCCTAGAACTAGAGTTTCGTAGGAGCAAACTAATGCCATGTTGTGATGCAATGCCTCTGTGTTTAAAAAGCTTTGGTTTTTCTTGCTGCTGTTTCCCATTGCAGACTCGTATACAATGTACTGTCAGCCATCACTCCTCAGTCTCCACGTTCCTATTTCTAGGTTTCTCTCCTTGTGCATCTGTGTTTGGGATTATTTTTTCTCTAGTGCATTGGCATGCATACTTTCAGGTGGCATCTCATGATGTTATTCCTCTCTGGACTTCTGTATTATTCTCCCTGGTGCTTACAACACTGGGAGTCTGCTCTGATAGTACTGGCTGTGACTGCTATATGAAGAACCAAATAATTTCAGGCCAACATATTACGTATCTATTTGTAATAGAACCATACATTAGTATATTTGACATATATACATCCCAGAATAATGAAGCTCCAGACTAATTTCCACCTGGGCACTCTCTGAAAAAACAGGGCAGGATAAAACTGAAATCTCCATGTTCTTTACCACTCTTCCTTGTAGTGTTAGTGAGTGGGCCAGAAAGAAAACATTTATATAAAGCTCTGGCCTTGTACAGGCAGGAAGTGAGTTACTAGAGTTCCAGCTCTAGTGGTACTGGAGTACCAGCACTTCCTGGCTTAAGTTCAGAGGTGTTCCCGCTTTAGTTCATTTAGGTTCGAACCATTGGAGTTACTACTGAACTGGGTTGGATTTGAATGAGTCATTGTATTGTTGCCCAGGCCCCTGAGCCATACAGGTCAATCCCTATAGGCATTTTTAACTTATTTTATCTTTCTTTCTTCCTGCCTCAGTCCCAGGAAGAAGTTTGTGATTTGCTGCATGCTGCTCCCTTCCAAAATATTTTGCCCAGGGTCTACATCAAAGGTAAGAAGCTGAGAAGGAAGCAGTGGACAGACTCAGAG